CCTTTCTTCCTTTCTTCCTTTCTTCCTTTCTTTCTTTCTTTCTTTCTTTCTTTCTTTCTTTCTTTCTTTCTTTCTTTCTTTCTTTCTTTCTTTCTCTCTTTCTCTCTTTCTTTCTTTCTTTCTCTTCCTTCCTTCCTTCCTTCCTTCCTTCCTTCCTTTCTTTTTTTCTTTCTTTCTCTTGCTTTCTTTTTTTGGCAGGGTTTCCCTGTGTAGCTCTGCATGCCCTGGAAACCACTTTGTAGACAAGGCTGGCCTTGAACTCACAGAGATCCACTTGCCTCTGCCTTCCAAGTGCTGGGATTAAAGATGTGCACCACCACCACCCCTTGTGAATACCATTTTATATAAATGATGCCAAAACCTGAAAATACAACAGATCTTTCTGTATTGAGCTGCTTAGAAAACCCTGCTAAGTGTATCACTTTGACTGTATTCTCCTCTAGGGATATTCTCTAAATCATGTCATGTGTAAATAACAGTTTTATTTCCTCTTTTCCAATTCTTATGTCTTGGTTCTCCTTTTTTCATTTATGATTATAACTTCAAGTACAATATTCAGTAGCAATGTGTTGTGGGCATCTGTCTCTTTATTAAGTCAAGGAAATTTTTTATAATTCACCAGTTATGTATAATGTTTTCTATGGTTTTTCAAATATTCCTTTCCAATTAAGGAAGTTTTAGCAAGAATTGATGTTAATTTAAAAAAATCTTCTAAAATTTTAAATTAAATCTCTTTATACTGAATGATAAATATTAAGTATATTTCCTGCCTCTATTTAGATGTCATATATTTTTTCTTGTTCGTTCAATCAGTGTACTGAGTTGCATAAGAATGTAAGATAATAAACCAGCTGTGAATTCCTAGGATACATATAACACATTTGTAATGTTGGTCCCAATACTTTAATTAGATTCATTAGATTCAGTTTGCTGATATTTTGTTTGGGATTTATGCATCTATGCATAAATATATTGACTGGTCAGGTCTTAATTAGATTTTAGAATGATGATTGTTCTAGCTTCCTCAATTAAAAATAGAAGCAAATCCAAATTTCCATCTTATTAATGTAACAGATGCCCTCAACACTCATGGAGTTACAAGGGTTTTTGGAGTTCTGTACTAAGAATCTGGAACAAAGACCAGATTGTTCTTTATCTCACACACACACACACACACACACACACACACACACACACACACACTCCAAAGGAGGAGATACTAAGGTTAAGAAATAAGCTCTCATAGCTCCTCTGAAATTCATAGACAAACTTGGGTAAGAGTTAATGTCATTGTCCTGAGCCCAAAATCTTCAGGACAGGACAGGCTAGAAAAATGGGCACACTTTTGTGTGCTTCAGTCTTGTGGAAGGCTTCTCTCCTCTTCAGGGAGTTCTGGTCTCTGCTCTTAAAGCCTTCCGCTGATTGGGTGATGCCCACTTCCACAGTATGGAAGTCAATCTGCCTTAAGGTGTATTGATTTTAAATGTTAATCAAATGTAAAATTACTGTCAAAGAAATGTTCTAGACTAATATATGACCAAAGAACTGGGCTCCATAGCTTAGCCAAGTCGGCATAAAATTAACCATTACACTCTCTTCTCTTGCTTAGATTTATTATTATTATTATTTTTTAAAAGGCGTGTGTGTGTGTGTGTGTGTGTGTGTGTGTGTGTGTGTGTGTAAAATTGTGTTTGTGTAATTGTGAGTGTGATATGTGTATAAAATTGTGTGTTTGTATAATTGTGAGTGTGGGCATGAGCACAGGTGCCAGCAGAAGCCAGAGGTGCTGGATCCCCCTGGAGCTGGAGCTGGAGTTAGGAGTGATTGTGAGCGATATAGATGATAGGAACCAAACTTGGGTCCTCTGCAAGAGCAGTATGTGCTGTTGTTAACCACTGAACCATCTCCCCAAGCCTAATTCTTCCCCTCTTTTTTATCTGGAAAGAGTTTTATAACTTAAATAGTTCTTACATTTAGGTTTTTGCTCCATCAAGCATGTGGGTGCATGCATGTACACATGGCATGCACGTGGAGGTGAGCACAACTTGTGGAAAATGCTTTTTACCTTTTACTTTGTGGGCCCCAGAGATGGGACTCATGTCATCGGAATTGGTGTCAAACACCTGTGCCCACAGAGCCATCTTTCTGATCCCTTAGGATATGTAACCATTATTCACAAATAAACAAATGAGATGGTAACTGATGATATGGTTGCGGACCACAACGGTGTTGATACCTGACATAAACCATCTCGATATCCCCTAGATAAAATGAGATGTGTTGTCAATAAATTGTCCAAGCTAGAACATAAACCTGACTTGGTTTCTTTTTGTTTGTTTCTCTAGGCTTCCAAGCAACAAAATCTAAAACAAATCTGGAAACTCACAGGTCAGAATGATTTTATCCTTATCGGGCAGCTCAAGGCTGATGACTGATCAACTGTGGACCTGCTTTAGGACTCTTTCCACTTGAAGTGGAAGAAAGTTGAAAAAGAGGGTGTGCCTGGAGAGTACACTCATCTCCCTGACATCTTTCCTTCCAAAGTCATGCAGACAGCTCCATCCTCCATTGTTTCCTTTTCTTGGGCTTCTCTGTCCCTACATCTTCATGTAGAGCCCAAAGTATGGGAGAGGAGAATGGACACAGCCACAGACAGCATAAAGGTCACTCCATTGGCATTGCTTCAGGTTATGGACTCAATGGGAATAAGCCCAGAAGTCCACAAGGCACAGGACCAGAAGGAATAGCCTCAAAGCTACAATACCAAGTCATGAAATCAGTAAAGATGAATACATTGCATAATTATCAAGCCATAAGACCAGGAAGTATGAGTCTAGGGCCACAGCAGACAGTTGTGGAAGCTATGGAAATGATTACCCAGTCTCAGCATAATGTCATGGGAACACTGATCATGACCTTGAGTTCTTAGAATCAAGCCACAAAACACCAGGATTACTCCCAGTCCAGTACATCAAAATGCAATGGAAATTAGTTCAAGTGCACTGCCTGAAGCCATTGATGATACAAAGTGACTCCAGTGGCAAAACAAGCCATGGATTTCATGCAGATAATTCCACTATGACAGCCACACATTACTAAATCTAGGGCTTTGATCCAAGGCTCACAGCCTCCAGCTGAAAATTTGACCCCAGTGTCAGCTCAACCAGATGTTCCGACTTCTACTGTCCCAGTAGGAACTGTAGAATCTAGAAGCATACCTCCACAGCCACCATCTAAAGTCCTGGGACCATCAGGAATGATTGATGACCTACTACCATCAGGTTAATCCCTGTATACTCTAAAGGTGACCCCGCTAGTCAGGCATCTCCCACGGGAATGATCACACCACTACAAGTTGTAGAGCCTCAAGTCAGAGAGTCTCTGCAATTTGCCTTCTGGGTTACAGGGTCAAGTTAAAGACTCCGTGGGGAGTCTTAAGGCACAGAGTGTGTGTCATTGACTCTAGGACTGTCTCATCAGGTCACAGACTCTTTGGAGTTCACCCCATGGCACCAAGACTTAAATTATTCGGAGGTGAGCCCAAGGCAAAGTCACAACATGGCAGAAGCTATGGGGTTGAACTGGCCACAAGTGAAGGATCCTGTGGAGACACCATAGTCACATCATCAAATAATGGAATCCACGAGAACAATCCCAGCACCACCAGATCAAGGTGCAGTACCTATAGGAAGGGGCCAAAAGCATCAAATTCCAGAAGCTGAAGTAGGGCCAGTCATACCACTGCTTCAGGAAACGGAATATTTGGGGGGGGGGCACTGTCCCACAGTCTAAGGTTAGAGATTCAATGGACTTACCCCCAGAACTACAGAATGTAAAATCTGAGCACCTGATCCCAGATCCAAGATTGCAAAGTATGAAATCTGTGGGCATAATCACAGATTTAGTCCTAGAAATGGAAAAATATGGACCACCAACCTCAACAGTGGTATCTACAGATTTGGCCCCAGAACTAAATCAGCAGAATACACAATCTGAGGAATTAACCCCCATACCACAACTGCAAAGTGAGACATCTGTGCCATCAGCCCCTGAGTCTCAGTTTCAAGATGTGAATTCTGGCCAACTGACAGTTGAACCACAACTCCAAAACAAAAAGTCTGCTAGGTAGGCCCCAAGTCCACAGTTGTAAAGTAAATAAATCAGTACATTTGATCAACAACTCTCAGTCTCAAGGTATGGAAGAATGCTCTTTCAGCCCTATCACAGGAATTACAAGGTAATTAAAAATGGTGGAGTTGACTCCAAATGATCACTTGAAGGTAGAAAATCTGTGAACTTGGCCCCAGAACCATGTTCACAAAGCACCGGCTATGATAAGATGGCCCCTGTACCATTGCTTGAGGATACAAAGACTCCATTTGTAGAAGGTAGGAGTCTACTTCCTGAGGCACAGGTGGAGACTATGGAAGTTGGTGAACTGATCCCAAGCACACACTTTTATGCAACAAAATCTTTAGAAGCGACCCCCAAACCAAGTTATCATTTCCTAGAACCTGAAGGACTGACCCTACAGCATCCAGCCTCAGAAGCAAGAGTGACCTCTGATCCTTGCCAGCAGGTGGAAAAATCTGCTCTGTTGCCACAATCATCATTAGGGATGAGTCCAACACCATTGAGCCAGACCTCAGAATCTGTGGAGATGAGCTCACCACCACTCCAAGAGACTCTTGAACCTGGGACCCAAGTTGTGAAAGAGATGGAAGAGACTCCAGAATCAGGAAGTGCAATTAAAGATACTCTGGATTTGCTACTAGATTCAGAAGTGCAAACTATGATCTCAGGAGTGATGGCCCCAGAGACACAGCCCCCAGATGTGAAGTTTGTTCAGGTGACTCTAGAACTGTGTGCAGAATTTGCTAACCCATCGGAAAGAATTCTGAGACAAGAATATGAAGACAGAGACCATCAGGTTGACATTGTCTAAAGTCGATGATACCCAGGGGACCATTGTAGACCCATAATCAGAGATGAGATCTCTAGAGTTGAGTCTAGAACCAAGAGTGCAAGGTGTAAAGTCAGAGACCTTGGCCCAAAATTTGAAATCTGCAGAAGTAATTGCTGAATCACCTGAACAAGTTGTAGAACCTACAGAGCTAACTACAGAACCCTAACTGCATATTGAAGATGGGATCCCAGGGCCACAGCTCCATGAAGTAAAGTCTAGGCAAATGGATAGAGAATCACAGTTGCAGAATGAGAAATCTGTAGATGTAATGAATGCAACAGTCACCTATAGGAAAGGTAGATCCTGAAAAGACAAAACCAGAGCCAGGGCTACAAAGTTTATCACCAAAGGAACTGATTGAGGGGCCACAGCCCCCAAATGTGAAATCTGTGGATTTAAATCTAGGGCCACAGCAGCTAAATGTCAAATCGGAATTGATTCTAGGGCCACAATTGCAAAGTGTCCAATTTCTAAAGTTATATCAAGAGCTACTTCTTCAAGGGGAAAACCCAGTAAATTTCATCTCAGGCCCCCCACATTATGGTGTGAACTCTGATGATGAAATATCATGTTCCCCAGGGTCAGAAACCAGATCATCAGCATTTCTTCTAGGGCCAAAGCCTCCAGAACCACAGCCACAGCCACAACCTGTGAAGTTGGTGGACATAAACATAAGACCATGCTTGCAACATGTGAGATTCTCTGATCCCGTCCTAGAGCCCAAGCACCAAGGTTTCAAATGTGGACAATTCACGCCAGGTATTCAGCTTCAAGATAGGAAGCCCTAGGGATTGATGCCAGAATCATTTTTGCCATTAGGCCAAGAGATGCACGTTGAAGATAAGAAGCTTGTGTTGCCTCCGGAACTATCAGAGTTTTGCAGCATGAAACTCACAATCCCATCCTCTGAACTACAACATCCAAGAGTGATAGCTGAGGAGGTCAATCCAGGACTGTGGCAACAAGACACCAAATTTTCTGAGTTGGCTTCTAGAATAAAACATCAAGGGGCCCAATTTGGGGAGCAAATTTTGTCTTATGGTATGAGTCCTATGGCTCCAGAGTTAGGGATACATGATCCCAAATCAGCAAAGGTGACTCCAGGCCTACAAGATACAAGGCAGGTAAGTTTTAACTCAGGGCCATGGCTGCACAATGTCAAATTTTTTGATGTAATTCCAGGAACTCAACCTCAAGCTGTGAAGACTTCAGAGTTTAACTCAGGGCCACGATTAGAATGTGTAAAAATATTTGAGTTGACCACACAGCCAGAGAGGCAAGGGATGAAGCCAGAGTTAATAGCACAAGAGCCACTCTTTCAAGATATACAATATGTCCCAGGGAATCAAGTACCAAGCTTTGAAGACCCAATGTCTTATAAACTAGCCTCTGAGCCACACATACCAAATACAGAATCAATGAAATTGACTCCTAGGAAACACTTAGCAGGTGCAGATCATTCTGAGTTGATCAGAAGATCATAGGCACAAGGTGTAGAATCTTCTGAATTGATCCACAGACAGCATTTGGGACATATAAAACCTGTGAAGAAGATCACAGCCACAAAGCAAGAAGAGTTAATGCCATGGCCACATTTGGAAGACATGAAATCTGTGGAGTTAAGGTCAAAGTCAGAGCTGGGGAAAGTCAAATCTATGTTGTCAACCCTGGTGATACAAGCAGGAGATAAGGAACTTGAAGAACTGCCTCCGGGCTCCAACAGGTTTAAAATCTGAGTTACCATGTTCAGAACCACACTTGGAAGATAGGAAATCTGCAGTCTAAACTCCAGGACAGTGTCTAGAGAGGAGAAAATCTACAGTGATATCCCCAAATAGTTCTCAGTCAGATGGTATGAAATCTGTGAAGTTGATCCTAGGTTCAAGAATGCAAGATTTAAAAACTGTGGGGTTGGCCCGATACACATTTGTTCAAGATATAAATGCCATGGGCTTAAAACTTGAGAAAAGAAGCAAGGGGAGAATCCTGTGACTTTTGTACCAGGGATGCTGTTTCAAGATAAGCCTGTGGAGGTGTTGTAAGGGCCTCATCAACAAGATGTAAAACCCAAGGAACTGACTTCACAGCCACAAATGAAAGATAGCAAATGTGTGATTGTCTCATGTCTGAAGCAGCAAAGTCTAAAACCTGGGAATATAGCCAAAACACAAGGGATCCAAGGAGTAAAATTTGTGGATTTAGTCTCAACACAACAGTGTCAGGGGATGGCATCCATAGATTTAATTGTTGAGCCCGGACAGGATGACCAGATAAGCTCAGCAGAGTGGAAAGGTGGGATGTTCGACCGGCTGAACAAACAGTTTGAGTTGGAAGATATGTTGTCTATGGGGTCAGATCCAGAACCCAAACTTGCAGGTAGAAAACCCATAGAGCTCATCTCTAAACTACAATGTAAAGATGCACCCTCATTTGAATTGGTTTCTGAAGTAGTTATTCATTCATAATGTAAAAGCTCAAGAGGTCAATGTGAGCCAAAGGTGCCAAGCATGATACCTTGTCCATTGACTCCAGAATCACAAGTGTACCAAATGAAAGCCTTGGAGCCAATGTTAGAGCCACTGCTTCAAGATGGGAGAACTGTGGCACTAAATACAGAACCACAAATTGGAGGTACAAAATCTGTTCAGTGGATACCAGTATCTGAGTTTCAAAGGAAGAAATGAATAGGGTCAAACTTTAGGTTACAGTCTCAAAGTGCCAGACCTACAGAATTGAAGCTGTCTACACAACGGAGAGGTGTGAAGTCATCTGAATTGACAGTCAGGTTAAAAATTCAAGGAGAAAAATCCATGGAGTTTCATCTTGAGTCACAGTTACAGCAAGTAAAAACCTCTTCGTTAGCACTAGCTCTGTAGAAAACAAAAACTTGCAACTTAGCTTCTGAGCCGCAGCTTCAAGGGATCAAAACTGTGGAGCTAATCAAGGAGCTACAAGTTGACCTTGTAAGATCCATTCAGTGGATACCAGGACCTGAGTTCTGTGGTGTGACATTTTAGAATTAAATCGTGGGTCACCATCTCCAGGTGTCCAGTCTACAGAACAGAAACCATCCATACAGCTGGGAAGTGTGAAGACATCAGAGATGTCTCTGGGGCCAAAACTTCAAGGAAAAAAATTCAGGATTTTAAACCTTGTGCCGCAAGTACAGTGTGTGAAGACCCCTGAATTGGCCCTTGTACCTGAGCTACAAACAAGGGAAAACATCACATCAACCTCAAAGCTATAGTCTCAATGTGTGAAAAGTTGGCCTTACACCAGGGACCACAGCTTGAAAATACAAAATCTGTTCACTAGATACCACTGTCTGAATGGCAGGTTAAGAAATCTATACTGAATCTTAGGTTGCAATCTCAAGATGTCACAGCTAAAGAGTTAAAACCCTCAGTACAACTAAGAGTTGTGAAGACATCCCATGAGTTAACTATGAGGCCAAAGTCACAGGTAAACAACCTTCAGGGTCAACCCAAGAACATCAGTCTCAGAGGTCCAAAACTATTGATTTCAAATCTGAGCTACTGTTTAGAAGTATGAAAGCATGTGACCCAAACTTAAGGTCAAAGATCAATAATACAAAATGGAAATTCAATCCCAGGTTTTGCTTAGAAGAAAGGAGCTCTCCTGGGTTGAACCCTGGATTACAGCCACAAGAAGGGAAGCCCTTAGGGTCATCCCCAGGAACACAGACTGGAGCTGTGTTCAGTATTTAAGCAAGAGTCACAGTCCTTAGAAGGGAAATATAGAGCTTTAAGCCAAAGGCCACAATCACAAAACAATGTAGAGTTGAACTGTGGAAAATCTTCTGAGTTGGCATTCAGACAAAGCCTGAAGGTATGAATCTGAGAACATCTCTGGGCCCCAGTGGCAGTGTGCAAAATGTTCTGACTTGACACCTGAAACAGAGTCCCAAAATATGAAATGTCCTAAGTTAAGTCCCAGCTCACAGTTGAAAAGTAAACCATTTACTGAGTTGGCTATGGGTACCAAAACTCGATGTGTCAAACAAGGCTGTAAACCTGGGCACAGTGGTAAGGTATAAAATCCAACTCATTTCTGAGAACATAGCCTCAAGAAATGGAAATGGAAGACGGTAAATCAGGCCCACAGTTACAAGACCTGAAATCTTCAAGGACAATCATGGGTATGGACAATCATGTCTGTGGACTTCGGTCCTGGACCACACTTACAAGATATGACATCTGAAGTCATTAGAGGGAAAAGGGCTCATGCTATGAAATCCAAAGAAATCAAACCTAGTTCAAAGTTACAAGGTAAGAAACATGATTTCACCCTGAGGAAGATGTTCTTAGGTACAAAATCTGTAGAGCTGGACTCAGGTCCCCCTCTGAAAGATTTGAAATATCCTGAGCTGATCATGGGTATGAAGCTTCAAGATGTGAACTCTATGGGACAATACATTACAAGTATAAAATCTTCTGAGGTGGTAACACAGATAAAACCCCAAGGTGTGACAGCGGTGGACCTCAATTCTGGACCACAGACACAAAATAAAAATCCCTCTGAATTGGTTCATGGGCAAAGGTACCAAGCTAAGGAGTCTGTAGAGTTTAATCAAGGCCCAAAGTTACAAGGTGTGACAGTGGAGTCCAAGACCCCAAATGGGGAATCTGGGAAGTTAAACTCAGGCCCCCAGTTACAAGATGAAAAATTCTGGGGAGAAAGCTTCAATATGGAAGATGTATGGAGGTCAGTTCTGGCCTATGCTCATAGGGTATGAAGTCTCCCGAAGTGATTTCAGAGGACACGCTTCAAAAAGAGAAACTCGTGGGCTCTGTAGATCAGCTACTGTGGCAAGATGTAAAATCTTTAAAATGGACATTTGGTAAGGCAGTTGACAGGGAACCTTTGCAGTTGGAGACCACTCATTTACAGGAGTCATCAGAATTATGTACAAAGCTTCAAGACCTGAAATCTATGGAATTCAATTCAGAGCAACAGTTGCAAGATGTGATGTCCTCTGAGTTGGGTCTGGGAACAAGTCCTCAGTCTTTAGCGTTCAACCCTGTGTCAGAGTTGCCAGAGATAAAACCTTCTGAGGTGTGCACATAAACCGGATGAGCCATCTCTGGAATTCAAACATGAGCCTAGACTGCAAGGTAGGGCATCCTGTGACCTAAATGCAGTGCCACAGATTCTCTGTAAAAAATGTTATGGCATCTGACACCAGAAAACAAAATGTAGAATTGTCTGAGGCGCAACCTGATCCAGACCTTCAAGGTATAAAATCTAAGTTGTTCTGCCTTGGACCACACTCAGAATATGTAAATTCTGCATGCACTCCCAATGCAAATTCTCAATATATAAATACCAGTGGGTGTAAACCTGGGCCATATTTGCAAGATATTAAATTCCTCTGCATGCATTCCAGAGCCAGACCCTCAATGTATGAAGTCTGTGTGCAATCCTGGGTCACATTTGCATGGAACGCATTCTTCTGCATGCGTTTTAGGACCAAAATTGCAATGTGCAGATTTTACTGTGTGCATCCATGAGCCAAACTTGCAAGACGTAAATTCTTCTGTATGTACCCCAGGGCCAAGTCCTCAGAGTGTGAATTCTATATACACCCCATGGCCAACTCCTCCATGTGTAAATTCCACATCCTGAAGCACATTTGCAAGGTGTGAATCAATGGGCATTAGTTCTAGGACCACACATTCAGTGTGTAGATCCTATTGGATGCTGTCCTAACTCACATTTGCAAGGTGTGAATCCTTCCACACGCACTCCAGCGCAAAACCCTTAGTGTGAACATTCTAATAGGTGTAGTCTTAAGCCACTTCTTGGTATGAATCATGGTAGAACACTTCCAGCACCACAAATTTTGTGTGTAAATTCTGTTTGGTGCAGTACCAAAACATATTTGCAAGATGTGGATTCTTGTGCCTGTACTCGAAGACAAGAGTCACAGTCTGTAAATTCTACTGGATACAACCCTGGGCCACATTTACAAGCTCCAAAACTTCAAGGTACGAAGTTTTCTGAGTTAAACCATGGGACAGGAATTCTAAGAGAGATGCCTATAATAGTTAACCAACGACAACACGTGCAAGACCTGAAGCTTGAATTAACTCCAGAGTAAAATATAGGTGTAGTACCTGTAGAGTATAACTCTGGGCCACAAGTACAGTGTGTGAATTTTTCTGAATTGAATCCAGGATTAAAATTATAGTGCATAAATCCAGTGAAGCTTAGTTCAGGGCCACAGTTGCAAAACGTGAAGTCCTTTGAGTTGACGCCTGGATCAGAATCTCAATGTCCAAAATCTGTTCTATTGCACTGTGGACCACCTTTTCAAGGTGTGACACCATCTCACTTAATCGTAGGGGCAGAGTTTCGGGAGATCCCATTTTTGAAGAAACAACTTGGATTGTGGCAGCAAACCACACAACCCATGTTTACTTTGAGGCCTCCATCAAATGGTGTGAAATCTGGGAGTTTCACCAACCCCACTGCCTGAAGATAGAATGTCTCCAGAGATGAGCAAACAGTCATTGCTTTGTTTTACAAATTCTGTAAA